GGGGGTCGACCTGCTCTGATAGCATGTCGAAACAAGTTAGGCAGAAGTTAGGAACAGAAAGAGGATTTGAGCTAGCAGGCAGTTGAGTACAAATAGCAAACCCTAGATTGGGCTGTACTCGCTATAGAGTACCCCACTGTAGGCTAGACAATATAACATTCTGACATGGAGTGTGAGAGAGGATTCAGTCGCCAGAACATCATCAAAAGCTGGATGCGCACATCGCTGTGCGATGCACGCCTTGGCGACCTCATGACACTGCACATGCTCAAGTACCCATATGTCTGACCAGATGTGGTGGACATCTGGCGCAAGCAGAAAACCAGAAGGCCGGCAAAACCTGTTGCGCATGCGACTCCTGTGGACCGGAAGGGGAAGGAGAAAGTTCCAGAGCCTGCAGAAGAAACTGACGAGGGGCAACACACATGTGGCATGTCTGATGATGATGACTAAAAATTTTATTGTGTGCAATGATAAAATCAATTCACTAGGGTTTGCTAAACTGGTACACTGATGCCACAGGGTTGAATTTTCAAAAACAAGAAAAACACTGATGGATCAGGGTTTGAACAAGGTGTCATACTGATAATCAGTAGGCATGAGCAGAGTGCCGAACCGAACTGCGGTTCGGCGCGGTTCGGTTCGCTACGAACCGAACCTCAGCCTTGGTTTGTTCATCAGGTTCGCCACGGACCGAACCGGTTTGTCATCGAACCGGTTCGACGGTTCGACCGGTTCGGTTTTTAGCTTTCATCTAGGGGCACAGAGGGGCGGGGAGGGGTTACGAAAGGTTAAGAGAGGCTTAAACGGTCGGTTAGGTTCGGTTCGGTTCGGTATTCCTGCTACAACACTGAACCTCGAACCGGCTTGAGACCAGAGCGGTTCGGAATGAACCAGTTCGGTTTATGCGCTATACTGCCTGAACCGGTTCGGTTCGGTACTTTGCTCATGCCTAATAATCAGGATTTTGAACTTGTGCAACACTGATTACAAGGGTAGCTCAAAACAAAAAATTAGCCTTGCTCTTATGTATCAGTGCCGTCATCTCCACGCCTTTGGAGCACTCCAAAGAAAAAGTTAGGAGGAGTGCTTCAGGTGTTGAGAAAAGACAAAAAATACACTGTTCATTCGAGTTGACCGAAAAAAGTGCTACCAAATGTGAAGGGATTGCTACGCAACCCAATAATTTCATCAAAACTAGGCTGATTTTTGCAGCGTTATTAATAAAACCGAGTGCTTGAAATACACCTCCAATGATGTCCCACTGCTTATATAGCGGGAAGCCTAACTATGCGGATAAGCTTGGTTTAGGACGTAGACCCAATCGAGTTTGATCGCGGCTGATCTGGTCGGGTTGGATCTGATCGGATTGCTTGTGATCGCGGTGCCCGAGCCGCCCGATCAGTAATGTTTTTCGAAGAAGTTTGTCAGCGCCTTCTTGGCAAGCGCGACACATCTACCCGGCATTTTCGTCCCCTTTCTAACGAGATTGGCAACCAGACGTCACCAAGCGAACATCCTAGTTTCCCTGGAAATGCAACAGTGTAACTTCTCGCAAACATCGTTGTGGGCCCCGATCACATGCAATCAGGTGATCGCCTGCGATTGAGGAAAATCGGCTCCGATCGGGGTGAAAATCGGGTCTGATCGAGTTGGAGCGATCAGCTGATCGCGATCAGCTGATTGCCCCCGATTGCCTGAAATCGGCTTCCAGGCTTCCTGGAAGTTCTTGATTGCGTGTGATCGAGGCGATCAAACTCGATTGGGCCCACGTCCTTAGGGCGCGTGTCCTTGAGGTCGAACTTCTGTTAAAGTTACAACTTCTAGAAGTGTTGTACACGGTAGGATACAGTTGCGAGACGTGTCTGTCAGAATGTTATTCTCTAGCCTGTAGTGGGGTGCTCTATAGCGAGTACAACCCATCTAGGGTTTGCTATATGTATCCCCATTGCTGCTAGTGTAACTCTCCTCTTTTGCCTAAACTTTCTCTTGCCTAGCTAGGGTTCTCCTAGCTATGGCTCCTAATTCTATCGCTTATCTTCACATGGTGTCAGAGCGGTTACGCTCATGGACTGTGGGCCCCCACTCGATGCTTCCGCTGCTTTCCTATTCGTCGCGCGCCATTGGGCGCGCGACGCCTTATTTTTCTTCCCGCCGCGCGCTCGGGGCGCGCGGCGGTTTCCCCCCGTCGGTTCCCTCCCGTCGCCTGCTGCAGCTCGCCCGTCGCCTGCAGCAGACCCCCCCGTCGCCCCCGCTGCCCCGTCGCGGCGCCCTGGGAAGCGCGCGCGACGCCTGCTGCCCCGTCGCGGCGCCCTGGGGAGCCGTGCGCGCCCCCCCCCCCCCCCCCCGCTCGTCGCGGAGCCCTGGGGGGCCATGCGCGGCCCCGCTGCCTCGTCGCGGCGCCCTGGGGAGCCGCGCGCGACCCCCCGCTCCCCCGTCGCGGCGGCCTGGGAAGCCGCGCGCGCCCCACCCGCTGCCCCGTCGCGTTGCCCTGGAGAGCCGCGCGCCCTCCCCCGAATCGCCCCCGAATCGCCCCTTCCCCCCTCCCATTCTGCCTCTTTTAGGGTTTGGGGGTGGCGAGTGTGGGGGTGGCGCCTCTGGGGGTGCTGGCTGTGTGCTCCGTCCCCTGCTCCTCCTCCTCCTCCGTCTCCCGCTGCTGCAGCTGCCGCTGAGGGGGGTGGGTGTGTGGGAGCCGAAGGAGTGGTGCTAGGGGGGTGACGTGGGAGTGGAGCTAGGGTTCGAACAGGGGGTGTGTGAGAGGGGGGTGGGACGGTCGGGGGAGGTTGAGCGGAGGCTGCCGTCTTGTCGTCAGCAGCACCTGTAGTCCGGGGCGCTGTTCCGGTAGCCCAGTCGTAGCCAGCTGCGCCAGTCGCCCGTGGGTCCGTTGCTCGTCTGCCGCACTTAGCCGCGGAGCCAGTTACTCCTGTATTCCGGGGCGCTGTTCCGGTAGCCACTGTGCCAGTTTGACTCCTGTTGCCCGTGTGTCTGCAGCTTCAGTCGTCGCCTCTTATCTCCTCTCCTCCTACAGTCTCGCCTCCTCCTCCTCACTTGCCCTTTGTGAATGACTCTAGTTTTGCTTACCTTTGTGAACTCCTGCTCTATACCTGCTTGCTCATTGTACTGATTACACCCCACTTTGGCTATGGGGGTGTGTCAGAATGTTATTCTCTAGCCTGTAGTGGGGTGCTCTATAGCGAGTACAACCCATCTAGGGTTTGCTATATGTATCCTCATTGCTGCTAGTGAAACTCTCCTCTTTTGCCTAAACTTTCTCTTGCCTAGCTAGGGTTCTCCTAGCTATGGCTCCTAATTCTATCGCTTATCTTCACAGTGTCGCCACGGTACAAAGCGTTATCAGGCTCGAACTTACGACGTGTTGCGACCCAACAGGGTTGGGTTGGGTCGGGTCGACCAGGTTGGGTAGACCCGACAGACCCAACCCAACACAAAGGCGACTCGGGAAAACGAAGAATTTCCCGTTGCTTTCTTTGCAAATTCGACGTAAAGAGAAAGCAATTGCTGCGCGGGTGGAAGGTGGGCTGGGCGATATTACCGGGTATCTTCTTCTTAGGCGAGATGCAGGCGACATGCGCGCGAGAACTACAGAGTTCGTAGGCTCAAGTACACCTTGATCTCGATTATTTCGCACCCCCTAATTTCAAATCCCGACTCGGGATCATCCGCAAAGGCTTTGGGCTGCCTAGCTGGCGAACCGTGAGGGATCATTGAACTGAGATGTGCAGAAATGATCGTTTTTTATACTGTCAACAAGACAGAGAAGTGGGGAAGCTTGGGTCTAGTCGGGTCACGTTCAAAATTGTGAAACAAGAAGGTCTCAATGTTTGTTGCAATTCTTGAAGTTACACCGACATGGCTTGATTTGCTAGAAACTCATGTTACTTTGGGAAAGTCGCGCATCTGTCGAACTCGAACCCGATCGTGAATAGGTCTTCAATTTTGGGAGTTGAAAATTAGATTCGAATTTGTGGTCAGGGTTACGATAAACACAATCCTGACGTGACTGTTTTCCATTGGATGCAAATTTTTTTCAAGATCGTCAACACTCTGTGGGTCTTTTCATGTCATTTTCCATTCCCTGCCAGCACAGCTGTACCGCGCCTCGAGGGTAAAATTATTAGGGACAATATTTGCCCCCTTAATTTCACACCCTCTCGGGCAAAAGAAATTGCGGTTCGGGATTTGGGGGCGTGAAATTATCGAGAACAAGGTGTAACCTGCTCTAGGTCGGTTGGGTTGGGTCAGGTCGGCCTGGTTGACCCAACCTGGTCGACCCGGGTCGAGCCAACCCAACCGGGTTGGGTTGGGTCGACTGGTCGAGTAGACCCGCGATGCAGCCTTCCTAGAAATTCGGGATCGGGGGCTGGTCGACCCGACCCGTGTGGGTCGCTACACCTCGTTAGACAATCTACACCACAAGACACGTGTTTTGAATGTCTGAAGGCGACGCGGAGGAGCTGGAACCTAGGGCTTCTGGCCGAGCCTACACTTCCGTAGCTCAGGCTGTACGCGATGGAGTACAGCCCCGCTAATGAAGAAAAATCCGAGTAGTCTAGGTTGACTTCCCAAGTCAGCCTGGATTTTATTCCATCCCAGTTTCTGCTGTTGGGAACCTTAGGACGCGTCAACTCCTGCAAATTTCGGCGATCGATCCTGCGTAGGTTCGAGTTTTACCTGGGTTAGAGGAGGTTCTTTTAAACATTGGAAGCAAATGCGGGTGCGGTGGCCGATCGATTTTGCAGGATCGATCGCCGATTTTAGCAGGAGTTGACGCGTCCTTAGCACGTTTATGCAACCTCCCTCTAATATTCCATGCCGGTTTCTGCACTGTCTGGTTCTTGCGTCGTTTCCAGACCGCACAGCTCGTCGAAGTCACCGATTACTGAAAGCCACACTGACCGTTAATAGCTTCACAGCAGGCCGCCGAAGGATACGCAGTCCGTATCAGACGACGCGTATTTTCGAATGCTACACGCGCCGCGATGCTAGGAAACATCGCTCAACGAATTCAAGACGCCTTTTTTCAGAGCCTGGAGCAGGCCGGGTGCGTGAGTCTGGACACGTACGGCCCTGCTTCGTCCGACGAGGATTTCGACGACGACGATGAAGACGAGGAGGAGGAGGACGGCCACCGCAGCGCAGGATCCGCTGCTGCCATGACACCCACCGGGCTCGTCGGATTTGGAAGTTTTTTACGGAACAATCCGCGCACGGATAAGTTTAAAGTGGACCGGTTTCACCATATCGAGTTTTGGTGCGGAGATGCTACTAACACGTACGGACGGTTTTCGTGGGGGCTGGGGCTGCCGCTCGTGGCGAAGTCGGACCAGACGACGGGTAACCACACGTTCTGCAGTTACGTGCTGAAAGCGGAGGACCTGGCGTTGGTGTTCACGGCGCCTTATTCCGAAGCAGCAGCTATATCGCGTACAGAACCCCTGGGGGAAGTAACTGGGGAGGCTGGACACCCTAGAAACTTCCGAGTTCCGTTTCCAGGATTTTCGCGACGGGCTGCCCGTGAATTTTCCGCTCTGCATGGATTGGGAGTTCGGGCAATCGGAGTTAGAGTGGAGGACGTGGAAGCGGCTTACCAAACGAGTGTAGATAACGGAGCTATTTCCATCTGCCCTCCCGTTACTGTCACAGACATCAAACCAAACGGCCAAGGAGGGAGTGTGACTATAGCGGAGGTGACTCTATACGGCGACACGGTGCTGCGGTTTGTGAATCCGAAATCGTTTTCAGGTCCGTTCCTCCCAGCCTTTGAGGCGGCATCGAACCAAGTGATGAGCTACGGCCTTTTCAGGGTCGACCATGTGGTTGGGAACGTGCCGAGCCTGGCGGATGTGGTTCGGTACATCAAGGGCTTCGCAGGGTTTCACGAGTTCACAGACTCGTGTGCTTCAGGGGATGCAGGAGGGGAAGCAGGACAGGGAATGGGGACAGGGAGAGGAGTGGGAGGAGGAGCAATAGGCATCGGTGCTGCTGCTGGTGCTGCCACTGGGGGTGTTGCTGCTGTCGGTTCTGCCACTCCTAAGAAGAAATCCGGCTGTGCTGACGTGGACCCCGCTGGCCTCGGCGTGAACAGTACTGTACTCGCTAATGACTGGGAGACAGTCATCCTCCCTATAATGGAACCCTCGCCCGGCCTCCCTTACAAAACACAGGTTGAAACCTTCCTGGAGCACTATAACGGGGCAGGAGTGCAGCACATAGCACTGATGTGCACGGACATAGTGAAAGCCGTGAAGGAGATGAAAGCAAGGAGCGAAATGGGAGGGTTCGCGTTCCTGCCAAGGCCGTCGGCTAAGTACTATCGGGAGGTGGCGGGGCGGGTGGGGAGTGTGATGAGTGAGGAGGAGATGGGCGAGTACGAGGAGTTGGGGATTCTCGTGGATGTGGACGCTGGGGGCGTGCTGCTGCAGGTCTTCACTGCGCCCATTGGGGACAGGTGAGCGTGGGTAAGAGTGGGTGAGAGTGGGTGAGAGTGGGTGAGATTGGGTATGTGTGTGCGTGCATGGTCATTTCCGCGGGAGAGAGGTGAAAGTAGATGAGGTGTGAGTGGTTATGCGCGTGGGAGAGAGGTGAGTGTGTGTGGTTATGCGCGAGACAGGTGTGCTGCTTTCTGCTGCAGATGTCCGTCACGACTCACAACGCCTACTGGGGACATGTGGGAACGGTTATGTGCAAAATTCAGGGGCTTGATGCACGGTGGTTCATATTTCTGACTTGCTTCCAGGCAATCTTGTATCCATGCACCAAGTTGCATCGTCTGGAAATTAGAACAAACAGCAAGATGTCAGTATGTTGTTTGCAATGGTGCAGTTTGTTACTTGTCTCTTTCTTTCTTTCTTTTCCCCCCACCGCTCCCTCCGCACAGCCCACCCTGGTCATTTAGATCCTCGAGGGGTGTTCTCGATAATTCTCAAAGACACCCCACCTTTGCCTCCCACAGGCCCACGTCTCCTCATCTCCATGGTCAAGCACATCATAGTGAAGCCAGGCGCAGGCCCCTCCTTCCACCGCAACCCATTCCATCTTGCGTTCCTCTCTTATCCATACCACTCCGCAACCCACTGGCCCACATGTACCTGTCGCCTCCCCACAGTCCCACACCGGCCCCTCTGAAATGAGCTGAGCCCCATCACCGACATGTGTGTCTTCCGTCTCTCCATGCCGTCGTCCTCTCTTCTCTTCTCTTGTCCACAGGCCCGCCCTCTCCAGTTTGTCATCCAAATTCATGAGAGGGTGGGAGTTACCAAGGCCCCCAAGCCCAGCATTTCCGCTGCGGCAGCCGCGCTGCGCCAGCCCAATCTACGACATTTGTCCCGCCCACATTCCCACTCTCCTCATCAAGATTTGTGAGAGGGTGGGAGTTAAGAAGGGTCCCAAGGCGAGCATTTCCACGGTTGATGCAACTGCACCACCTGTCAGCCCAGCCTACAACATGTGCCTTCTGTCCCTCCCTTCCCTCTTCCTCGCTTTCCCATAGGTTCAACGGAATCACTTTCGCTGGCCACACCACCTGTCAACCCAGTTCACAACACGTGTCTTCCGTCCCTCCTCCACTCTCTCCCACCCACAGTCCCACTCTCCGCGTCGAGATGAGGGAGTAAAGAAATGTCCCAAGGTGATCAATTCCCCTGCAGCAGCTGCAGTACCTGTCAGCACTGTTGACAACATGCTCTTCCTTCCCTCCCTTCCCGCTTCCTTGTTTTCCCACAGGCCCACCCTTTCCATTCCTTGATCGACGTTTGTCAGACGGTGGGAGTGGAAAGGGACTTCAAGAGAATTCATTCCCATGCAGCAGCAGCGCTACCTCTCAGCCCTATCAGTGACATGCTTTTCCCTCCCCCTCTTCCCGCTCCCCTCCCCTCCCTGCTCCTTTCCCCTTCTCTTCCTGCTCCTTTCCCCTTCTCTTCCTGCTCCTTTCCCCTTCTCTTCCTGCTCCTTTCCCCTTCTCTTCCTGCTCCTTTCCCCTTCTCTTCCTGCTCCTTTCCCCTTCTCTTCCTGCTCCTTTCCCCTTCTCTTCCTGCTCCTTTCCCCTTCTCTTCCTGCTCCTTTCCCCTTCTCTTCCTGCTCCTTTCCCCCTCTCTTCCTGCTCCTTTCCCCCTCTCTTCCTGCTCCTTTCCCCCTCTCTTCCTGCTCCTTTCCCCATTCCCTTCCTTTCCCTTCCTTTCGCTTCCCCCTCCCGTCGCATTCCCCCCCGCCCACCCACAGGCCCACGCTCTTCATTGAGATTCTTCAGAGGGTGGGAGTGACCAAGGGCCCCAAGGCCGTCCCCCTCCACCAGCTCCAACACCTGTCAGTGCTGCTGTTGATAACATGTGTCTTCGCCCTGCCCACCCACAGGCCCACGCTCTTCATAGAGATTCTTCAGAGGGTGGGAGTGACCAAGGGCCTCAAGGCCGTCCCCACGCAGCAGTTGTGCCGAGGGGGGTGTGATGTGATGTGATGAAGGGTGCCAACCCAAGGTGATCAATGCCCCTGCACCACCTGCCACACCTGTCAGCGCTGCTCATAACGTGCATCTTCCTCCCCTCCCTTCCCTTCCCTTTTCTCTTCCTCGCCCACCCACAGACCCACTGTCTTCATAGAGATTCTTCAGAGGGTGGGAGTGACCAAGGGCCCCAAGGCCGTCCCCATGCAGCAGTTCCCTCGGGGGGGGTGTGGAGGGTTCGGCACCGGTAACCTTCTGGAGCTCTTTCGATCACTCGATGTCACTCACACGCCAGCCAAGGCATATCCATGACTTGTGTTGGAGCTACTACCGTGGGTGCAAGGGGGTGCGGTTGGCATGTTTGATTGCTCGCAGCAACAATGGTGGACTAGAATGTGTTTCAGTTGCTTCTGTATCTTGGCATGGTGCTGTGCTGATACCTGTTGCCATAGGAATGAGCATGTGACATGCCACTCACCGTATTCAAGATCTTCCCTTAGTTTCTAATCTAACCTACCGGAATTGCCAAATTCAGGGGTAATGATTTTACTGGCATTCAGTTCAGGCCGAAGAACATGGGCCTCTTGGAATGAGCACGGGTGGCATGAACAGAAGAGATCGTTGTTGAGAAGCACGAGAGGGTTAGTGCAGCCAGTTGATCAAGCTACGGTACCCACTACACAACACATGACACACGGGTCAGGTCATGAGACCTTGGATTGGATGGAATGGAAGTCACTTGTGTGAGCTACCGGTAAGCATCTCTAGTGTATCAAGCACCATTTGATCTCTATTCTTCCAATGCATATCACCCCACACATGTCGCACCATCATTCCTCGGGGGCCTGTCAGCTCACGGTATGGAACCACTATCAGCTTGTTCCTCCACTTTGAATCCCGAGCAACCCAATTCAGGTACGGCTGCTCCCAGGGAGGGTAGTATCGATGGTACATGTCTGCTCCCAAGCTGTACCAGTGCCTCAAGAACTGCAAGGACAAGGCGTTTGGATAGGATAGGACATCCTTTTATACGTAACTAACAAAGCACGCAAGAGAGCTTTACCAAGTGATGACCTCCTTCTCGTCCATCGTTGCCTTCCAGAGCACCAGCACCACCCACAACTTCCCCAGGATTTCCTCACTTGTTTACGCAACACCCCTTGCCTTGTTCTCACCTTGAAGGTCAAAGGAGATAGGCGCCACAGCATCACACCGGAATTAATGAAGTCACACCCTTCTTCGAATAGTGTATCTGGCCGCCCGTAATACCCCCCTCCGGAATCGCCATTCCTAGGAATGAGCGCTATTGGTCCGTTCGGTTGCAACACGGTTGCCGGTTGTAGCAGCAGAGCTGGGTCCTGTGGGACCCACACCTGGCCCTTGAGTGTGGCTGTCAAATTGGCGTCTGTCAACCAGCTGAAGTAGTTCTGAAGCAAGGGAGAACAGAAGGGGGGAAGATGAGGGGTGAGTGAGAGAGTGTTGAGAAGAGAGTGGTGAGATGAAGAACAACGGGGAAGGGAGATATGGGCCTTGTTTTGAGGTGCAGCCAGTGAAAAAACTGCCCCTTGAGCAATTCTGTCTGTTTGGCATCTATTTACCTGTTGAATAAAGAAGCTGAGATATCAGTGGCTAAGATGAGGGAGAGGGAGGGAGTTTTTCAATCAAGGGCCATCGATCGAAGTTGTGGGGCTGGAGACGAGCAGTTGGAAGATCAGAGTAAGAAAGAAGACTTTGGTCGGTAAGAGAGTCGACTTTGGTCGGTAAGAAAGTCAATGTGGGAGAAAGTGGACAGGAAAGAAACAAGTAGCAGTGGATTAAAAGCTTCATACAATAATGGTGAAAATCGATGGGTGTTTAGCGCTAAACCGTAGCCCAGGTCAGCTGCTTCATGGATTCAAGGTTAAGAGCTGGCTCACCGGTTGCTTCATGGCCTGAATCCAAGCTTCAATGGACAGCTGGTGGTGGTTCATGCGCATGTATGCATCCGAGTCGAGGAAGAACGCCCACTAGCAGCAACACGACAGCTGCTCCGCTATGAAGGGCACCTGCACAGGTAGCAATAGTTGTGAGGCGCCTCAAAACTAGCAGCAGGAGAGCTGCTCCGCTGTAAAGGGCACCTCACAGGTAGCAATCCGCTCGTTTTGATTGTATGATGCCACTGCATATGCAAGTGAATGTGTATATGCTCAAATTGTGGCCGAGAGTGATAGGTTATCACGGAGGGGGAACGTAGGTCAACTGTGACCAAGCACTCTGTGTGTGCATGCGAGCATGTGTGGGTGTGACCAAGCACTCTGTGTGTGCATGCGAGCATGTGTGGGTGTGACCAAGCACTCTGTGTGTGCATGCGAGCATGTGTGGGTGTGACCAAGCACTCTGTGTGTGCATGCGAGCATGTGCGGGTGTGACCAAGCACTCTGTGTGTGCATGCGAGCATGTGTGGGTGTGACCAAGCACTCTGTGTGTGCATGCGAGCATGTGCGGGTGTGACCAAGCACTCTGTGTGTGCATGCGAGCATGTGCGGGTGTGACCAAGCACTCTGTGTGTGCATGCGAGCATGTGTGGGTGTGACCAAGCACTCTGTGTGTGCATGCGAGCATGTGTGGGTGTGACCAAGCACTCTGTGTGTGCATGCGAGCATGTGTGGGTGTGACCAAGCACTCTGTGTGTGCATGCGAGCATGTGTGGGTGTGACCAAGCACTCTGTGTGTGCATGCGAGCATGTGTGGGTGTGACCAAGCACTCTGTGTGTGCATGCGAGCATGTGTGGGTGTGACCAAGCACTCTGTGTGTGCATGCGAGCATGTGTGGGTGTGACCAAGCACTCTGTGTGTGCATGCGAGCATGTGTGGGTGTGACCAAGCACTCTGTGTGTGCATGCGAGCATGTGTGGGTGTGACCAAGCACTCTGTGTGTGCATGCGAGCATGTGTGGGTGTGACCAAGCACTCTGTGTGTGCATGCGAGCATGTGTGGGTGTGACCAAGCACTCTGTGTGTGCATGCGAGCATGTGTGGGTGTGACCAAGCACTCTGTGTGTGCATGCGAGCATGTGTGGGTGTGACCAAGCACTCTGTGTGTGCATGCGAGCATGTGTGGGTGTGACCAAGCACTCTGTGTGTGCATGCGAGCATGTGTGGGTGTGACCAAGCACTCTGTGTGTGCATGCGAGCATGTGTGGGTGTGACCAAGCATTCTGTGTGTGCATGCGAGCATGTGTGGGTGTGACCAAGCACTCTGTGTGTGCATGCGAGCATGTGTGGGTGTGACCAAGCACTCTGTGTGTGCATGCGAGCATGTGTGGGTGTGACCAAGCACTCTGTGTGTGCATGCGAGCATGTGTGGGTGTGACCAAGCACTCTGTGTGTGCATGCGAGCATGTGTGGGTGTGACCAAGCACTCTGTGTGTGCATGCGAGCATGTGTGGGTGTGACCAAGCACTCTGTGTGTGCATGCGAGCATGTGTGGGTGTGACCAAGCACTCTGTGTGTGCATGCGAGCATGTGTGGGTGTGACCAAGCACTCTGTGTGTGCATGCGAGCATGTGCGGGTGTGACCAAGCACTCTGTGTGTGCATGCGAGCATGTGTGGGTGTGACCAAGCACTCTGTGTGTGCATGCGAGCATGTGTGGGTGTGACCAAGCACTCTGTGTGTGCATGCGAGCATGTGTGGGTGTGACCAAGCACTCTGTGTGTGCATGCGAGCATGTGTGGGTGTGACCAAGCACTCTGTGTGTGCATGCGAGCATGTGTGGGTGTGACCAAGCACTCTGCGTGTGCATGCGAGCATGTGTGGGTGTGACCAAGCACTCTGCGTGTGCATGCGAGCATGTGTGGGTGTGACCAAGCACTCTGCGTGTGCATGCGAGCATGTGTGGGTGTGACCAAGCACTCTGCGTGTGCATGCGAGCATGTGTGGGTGTGACCAAGCACTCTGTGTGTGCATGCGAGCATGTGTGGGTGTGACCAAGCACTCTGTGTGTGCATGCGAGCATGTGCGGGTGTGACCAAGCACTCTGTGTGTGCATGCGAGCATGTGTGGGTGTGACCAAGCACTCTGTGTGTGCATGCGAGCATGTGTGGGTGTGACCAAGCACTCTGTGTGTGCATGCGAGCATGTGTGGGTGTGACCAAGCACTCTGTGTGTGCATGCGAGCATGTGTGGGTGTGACCAAGCACTCTGTGTGTGCATGCGAGCATGTGTGGGTGTGACCAAGCACTCTGTGTGTGCATGCGAGCATGTGCGGGTGTGACCAAGCACTCTGTGTGTGCATGCGAGCATGTGTGGGTGTGACCAAGCACTCTGTGTGTGCATGCGAGCATGTGTGGGTGTGACCAAGCACTCTGTGTGTGCATGCGAGCATGTGTGGGTGTGACCAAGCACTCTGTGTGTGCATGCGAGCATGTGTGGGTGTGACCAAGCACTCTGTGTGTGCATGCGAGCATGTGTGGGTGTGACCAAGCACTCTGTGTGTGCATGCGAGCATGTGTGGGTGTGACCAAGCACTCTGTGTGTGCATGCGAGCATGTGTGGGTGTGACCAAGCACTCTGTGTGTGCATGCGAGCATGTGTGGGTGTGACCAAGCACTCTGTGTGTGCATGCGAGCATGTGCGGGTGTGACCAAGCACTCTGTGTGTGCATGCGAGCATGTGTGGGTGTGACCAAGCACTCTGTGTGTGCATGCGAGCATGTGTGGGTGTGACCAAGCACTCTGTGTGTGCATGCGAGCATGTGTGGGTGTGACCAAGCACTCTGTGTGTGCATGCGAGCATGTGTGGGTGTGACCAAGCACTCTGTGTGTGCATGCGAGCATGTGTGGGTGTGACCAAGCACTCTGCGTGTGCATGCGAGCATGTGTCGGTGTGACCAAGCACTCTGTGTGTGCATGCGAGCATGTGTCGGTGTGACCAAGCACTCTGTGTGTGCATGCGAGCATGTGTGGGTGTGACCAAGCACTCTGCGTGTGCATGCGAGCATGTGTGGGTGTGACCAAGCACTCTGCGTGTGCATGCGAGCATGTGTGGGTGTGACCAAGCACTCTGCGTGTGCATGCGAGCATCTGTGGGTGTGACCAAGCACTCTGCGTGTGCATGCGAGCATGTGCGGGTGTGACCAAGCACTCTGTGTGTGCATGCGAGCATGTGTGGGTGTGACCAAGCACTCTGTGTGTGCATGCGAGCATGTGTGGGTGTGACCAAGCACTCTGTGTGTGCATGCGAGCATGTGTGGGTGTGACCAAGCACTCTGTGTGTGCATGCGAGCATGTGCGGGTGTGACCAAGCACTCTGTGTGTGCATGCGAGCATGTGCGGGTGTGACCAAGCACTCTGTGTGTGCATGCGAGCATGTGCGGGTGTGACCAAGCACTCTGTGTGTGCATGCGAGCATGTGTGGGTGTGACCAAGCACTCTGTGTGTGCATGCGAGCATGTGTGGGTGTGACCAAGCACTCTGTGTGTGCATGCGAGCATGTGTGGGTGTGACCAAGCACTCTGTGTGTGCATGCGAGCATGTGTGGGTGTGACCAAGCACTCTGTGTGTGCATGCGAGCATGTGTGGGTGTGACCAAGCACTCTGCGTGTGCATGCGAGCATGTGTCGGTGTGACCAAGCACTCTGTGTGTGCATGCGAGCATGTGTCGGTGTGACCAAGCACTCTGCGTGTGCATGCGAGCATGTGTGGGTGTGACCAAGCACTCTGCGTGTCCATGCGAGCATGTGTGGGTGTGACCAAGCACTCTGCGTGTGCATGCGAGCATGTGTGGGTGTGACCAAGCACTCTGCGTGTGCATGCGAGCATGTGTGGGTGTGACCAAGCACTCTGCGTGTGCATGCGAGCATGTGCGGGTGTGACCAAGCACTCTGTGTGTGCATGCGAGCATGTGCGGGTGTGACCAGGCACTCTGTGTGTGCATGCGAGCATGTGCGGGTGTGACCAGGCACTCTGTGTGTGCATGCGAGCATGTGCGGGTGTGACCAAGCACTCTGTGTGTGCATGCGAGCATGTGCGGGTGTGACCAAGCACTCTGTGTGTGCATGCGAGCATGTGCGGGTGTGACCAAGCACTCTGTGTGTGCATGCGAGCATGTGCGGGTGTGACCAAGCACTCTGTGTGTGCATGCAAGCATGTGTGGGTGTGACCAAGCACTCTGTGTGTGCATGCGAGCATGTGTGGGTGTGACCAAGCACTCTGTGTGTGCATGCGAGCATGTGTGGGTGTGACCAAGCACTCTGTGTGTGCATGCGAGCATGTGCGGGTGTGACCAAGCACTCTGTGTGTGCATGCGAGCATGTGCGGGTGTGACCAAGCACTCTGTGTGTGCATGCGAGCATGTGCGGGTGTGACCAAGCACTCTGTGTGTGCATGCGAGCATGTGTGGGTGTGACCAAGCACTCTGTGTGTGCATGCGAGCATGTGTGGGTGTGACCAAGCACTCTGTGTGTGCATGCGAGCATGTGTGGGTGTGACCAAGCACTCTGTGTGTGCATGCGAGCATGTGTGGGTGTGACCAAGCACTCTGTGTGTGCATGCGAGCATGTGTGGGTGTGACCAAGCACTCTGTGTGTGCATGCGAGCATGTGTGGGTGTGACCAAGCACTCTGTGTGTGCATGCGAGCATGTGTGGGTGTGACCAAGCACTCTGTGTGTGCATGCGAGCATGTGTGGGTGTGACCAAGCACTCTGTGTGTGCATGCGAGCATGTGTGGGTGTGACCAAGCACTCTGTGTGTGCATGCGAGCATGTGTGGGTGTGACCAAGCACTCTGTGTGTGCATGCGAGCATGTGCGGGTGTGACCAAGCACTCTGTGTGTGCATGCGAGCATGTGCGGGTGTGACCAAGCACTCTGTGTGTGCATGCGAGCATGTGCGGGTGTGACCAAGCACTCTGTGTGTGCATGCGAGCATGTGCGGGTGTGACCAAGCACTCTGTGTGTGCATGCGAGCATGTGCGGGTGTGACCAAGCACTCTGTGTGT